CCCACCACTAGAATCTTCCAAGTTGATACAGAGGCCTTAACTCAGTTCAGTCTCTTATTTGGTCCAGATGGTCTCAACAGCACTTTCCTCTCTCAAGTCTTTGTCTTCGAGACTTCGTGGCTTCCTGTGAGCGTGTGGGGAAGTACAGTTCAAGGATAGGAGGGAGGAAGGAGCCACTGCCCTGTTCTGCTCAATCAGTGTCACATCCTCTTACTGACCTCTTCCAGCAAAGGTATTTCTGTCTCCATATCACATGGCGTCTGAAGGTCAAAGAGCCTAATTTGCTCAGCATCATTGTGGGTCCTGATAAGACTGTTCTGGTTGGAGTAGGCAGTTTGGTACTCTTCTCTATGGCAGAATATTGACACCAGGCAATGTGTTCCCTGTCTGGGTTGTGGGGCTGACTTTTTCTTTCAAGCTGACTCCAGATTCAATCCAGCATCCAAGCCCACCTTCTGCAGGGGGCAATAATGTACTGTGTAACCTTAGTGGGTAACTGAAAGTGGAAGGAGGCAGCAGTAATGACGTCACCATCTACAGGCAACTCTGGGTGCAGAGAGAGGCATAGAGTCCAACTTGCTGATGACTTCAGAAAACTTAGGTTCCTTGAGTGAGGCAATGAATGCTTAATCATTAATAGATGCACTTGGGTACACCTTGGAGCTACCAAGGGTCCATTTCAGAGCACCGCAATAAAGTGAATATCACAATAAAGTAAGTCACAGGAATTTTTTGGTTTCCCAGTGCATATAAAGGTTATGGTTACACTATACTGTAGTCTGTTGTGTATAATAGCATAATGACTAAGAAAAACCTCTATACGTTAATTAAAAATACTTTGTTGCTAGAAAATTCTAAACATCATCTGAGCTTTTGGTGAGTCATAGTAATAACATCAAAGATCACTGACCACAGATCACCATAACAAACCTAACAATGATGAAAAAGTTTGAAATATCGCAAGAATTACCAATGTGTGACAAGGACAGGAAGTGGGCAAATGTGTTAGAAAAATGATGATGCTAATTGATTTTTTCAAAGCAGAGTTGCTACAAACCTCCAATTTGTAAAAAATGCAGTATCTCTGAAGCACAGTAAAGCAAAGTGCTTTACTTATTCATGAAATGAGCTATGCCTGTATGTTAGCACCTGCGTAGCTCCAGGTGAGCTGAAGGTGCTATACCACCCCACATAAGTGTTCCTGCTTGGACCTTAGTTCAAACCCTGGGAGATCATACCAGGTAACCTTTGCAGATTGTTCTAAATACAAGATTCTGAGTCTATGGACCATCACACCATATGTCAGGTCAGCATTCCCATAGGATGCTCTGGAGTTCAGAACCTGGGAACCTCACTATCACAATGAGTGTTGTTCTCATTGAGCCAAGTGATCCCCAAATGGCTGCCTAGGAACCTGGGCTGGTCTGGGAAGATGTGTTTCACCTGTTGTGACAAAAGGTAAAAAATAAAAAGAGTCATGTGTGCATTGGTTCATGACATTTTTGTAATACCTAAAGTATATTAAGTTGAGCTATCACTCTGGAGTAGATCCACAAAAAGAAATGAGCCAAATTGTTTCTTAAAAATGTCTCTGTTCCATCAAATTCAGAGACCTTGGAATCCATAACTGGATCCAGACTTTTATCTTGCAGAAAGGTCACACTGAAGATAGTTGGTTGAGCTGCATGGCCTGACTGGGAACAGTCAGTCCTGCCTTGACATTTTCTTGTGTGTGGTCTGGAGTTATTTACCATCTCTGGGACTTAGGGGCTTAACACTACAAGGGCTTATGTCTTGCACCGCAGTGTCTATTACAGGTTCCTATTGTTTCACCACATTTGCCCCTGCTCAGGGACACAGCCTCCAACTTGCAGAATCTTAAGGGTCACCATGGTCACGTGTCATGTATTGGATTTTATTTTATTTTTGGCCACATATCAGTTTGTAGGATCATAGTTCCCTTATCAGGGATTGAACCTGGATCCCCTGAAGTAGAAGCAAGTCTTAACCACTGGACACCAGGGAATTTCCACTGGATTTTAAAGGCTTCCACCTGGAAGTGGTGTGTGCTATTTCCCCTCAAATTTCATTGGCCAAGACAAGTCATGTGATTACACCTAACTGCAAGAGGTCTGAAAAGTACAACCCTACAAAGAAGTTCTTGGAAGGAATAGAGGTATAAGTATTGGCAAATAGCAGTTAAGGTCAAACACACAGTCATTCATTAATATTTCTTTTTCTTTATTTTAGCTCAGTATTTTAACTGGTTGAAATATTTTTATATCTTGATTCTGATATGAATTGTTTTAGTTGCCAAATTTTGAGAGTCTATGGCATTTCCCTAAAAACTTCCTCTAGCCTGGTAGTGATTTGCTGACTAGTATGTTCAGATTACAGTTGTTCAATGGTTTCAAGTCCACATTCTCCATGAGGGCATCTTGAGAAATTCTATCACATGGTTTGCTGAAATCCAGACATGTTATATGGGTATTTTGCCTTTGACTTATTAAAGTAGGATCTCTATCAAAAAATGAAATAAGGTGAGTTAGTGAGAAGATTAGATGTTTTTAAGTTTTGAATAATATGAACCAAAGGTCTGGATAATTGAACTTTGAGTTTTTGTTTAAACATAGAACTAGCATTGTTTTAATAACTATGTTAATAAGCTATAGCAATATATTAGTTGGGCTCTTTGGTTAGGTATTTGGAGGTCTTGCAGATGGTTGGAAACTGTCAGCCAAACACCAAATCAACCTTCAGAACCAAAGGAAAGACCCACTTCTCCACGAGTGACAACAGCAATAATAACAGTGAACACTTGCATGGTATTTAGTGTGTGGATGTTTTGCAGCCAGGGCACATAATACCATGTTCTACTGTCCAGAAATAATTGCATAGTTCCTCTTACAATCGAGAGGGCTGGATTTAGTCTTTTTTAACTTGGATAAAAATGGCCTTGTACTGTCTCTTTCATAATATGCTTTTTAAAAATAAAGACAGAGAGAATATATTTTTATGAAAGTTCAGTGTTAGCTTTAAAATTCAGAAATTAGCATCCAGAAAATAAAACTAGTTACTTCTTTCATAGTTCAAAGTGATATGAAATTCACCCCCAAGAGAATTGTTTAGGCAAAAATATAGCAAACTGAAGCCTGATTTTAATTAGCTCACAACCTTACACTTCACTGTGTGTGTGAGTGTGTGTGTGTGTTGATGGAAAGGAATGAGCATCATTAGTTCATTATTCCAGAATTTAAGGTAAGAGTTAGTTTCAGGAAAGAAATGCGCACTCTATCGGCACAGAAACACCTGAATGATGAGAGGAGTACCAGCAGAGGGTGCTGGTGCGGCACAAAATTAAGAATTTTTTTTTTTTCTTTCAAACAGGCGGTCTGGGCTAGAAGACAGCAGGTGTGAGGGAAATGTAATAACTGTTTGGGTCCACTTGGAGGTATGAATTCTCCAGCTGCAGGCAAATGAGCCTGGGTTTCAGTGACTTGTTTTGTAATGGCCACATGGATTTTAGACATCTTCTAAAGCACAACCTCCTGACACTTGCTCCTGTGTCTGAGCGAGTTGGGCAGAGGCCAGGCAGTTTGGTTCCTGTTTTCACTGGAGACTTTTATCAGCCCCTGGCTGCTCATCTGTGGCACCTTCATGCTGGATTCACGTGTCATCTCTACTTTCTTACTTGCTCAGCTTTTGCAAAACTGTATTTGTATGGTGGAGAAAATTTGCCCGAACTATTAATCCAGTTCGTGCAATCCTGTTAATCCAAGAGGGTCCCATTTTCTTTACTCACACGGTCAGCTTAAAGACTAGGTGATTAGTTCCTGGGAGCCCATCCGTAGCAGAGGTTGTGAAAGGTCAGATGGGGAGACAAGGTGGGCTTCATCTCCTCGGCAGGGCCTGACCTCCCGGCCTAACTCGGACGTTTAGAGGAGCCTCCCCCTCCCCTCTCCGTCCCCCCTACCCATGTAGGTTGGGAGGAACATCCCCTTTACTCAGGGCTCTATAGTAAACCCTGGCAGGGCCTTCGCGAGCCTGCACGTCTGAACTGCTCTTTCAGAAGACCGACCGCGTTCTGGGCTGGGAGTCAAGTGACCCACTGGGGTCCAGTCCAGCCCGTCTGGGCCTCAGTTTCCTCCTCGGTTCAACTACAGGGTTGGACACCCTGATCCCGAGGCCTCTTTCCGCTCTCCCACTCCACAGTCTGACATTTCCAAGCGGCGCGGCCGGCTCCGCCCTCGGCAAAGTGCAGGCTCTCGGTCAGCACCAAGGACAGGGGCCCCGGGGCGCGCTACGCAGAACGCAAGGTCACTTCCTAGCCAGCCCCGCCGATCTGCGGGTGTCGGGCGCCGGGGTTGGGAGGCGGCGCGGTGAAGGCTGTGTGTGTCTGGGGGAGTGTTGTGGCGGGCGGTGGGGTGGGGAAGGAGCCCCGAGAACGAGGTAAGGCCGGTCCCCGCTACGGTCTCGCAGATTCCGCGCCGAGGGGCCGCGGGCGGCTGCGGCCAGTCGGGCACCTGCTCGCCCCGCGCCAGGCGCGCGCTGCTCGGCACCTGGAAGCCCGTAAAGTCCTCCCCGTGTTGGCGTTGACCCCGTCCACCCCCCTTTTCTTCCCAAACCCCTCCGAGCTCCCCGCCAGGCCCGCATCACCACCGCTGTCCCCTAGAGCCGCTTTTGGACACACCCCCGACTCTGACCGCACCCCTCAAGGCTGGGGGCCCCCTGTTGGCCTCTCTGCTTCGCCTGCCCCAACTCCCGGTTTGGGGGGGAGGGTACCCACCTCCCTCCCTCCCCTGCTAGCCCGGAGCCCCGCCCCCGCTGGCCCCGCCCACAGGCCCCGCCCTCCGTTGCCCCGGGAACCGCTCATCCCGCATCTGCAGGAGGCGCCCGGCCCGGCGGAGCTGTGTTTTCGCCGCCAGCACCGCCGCTCCCGCAGCCAGCGCCGCCGCCGCGCCCCAGCTCCAGCTCCGGCTCCCGCGCCCTCTCCGTCGGCCATGCCGCCCCGCCGCTCCCCGGCGTCTGCCCTGCTGCTGCTACTGATACTCGGCGCGGGGCCCCGCAGCGGCTGCCTGGCCAGCCCGGTGCCCGCCGCGCCCCTGCCCGTGCCGGGGCCATGCAGTGCGCAGCCCTGCCAGAACGGGGGTGTGTGCTCCCAGCTCCCTGCGCCCGACCCGCAGTCCCCGGCCGCTGCGGGAGAGCCCGGCTACAGCTGCACCTGCCCCGCCGGGGTCTCTGGCACCAACTGCCAGGTGAGTGGACGCGGCGGGCGCGGCGCGGGCCACTGCGCGCTGTCCAGTGCGGGGCTCCAGGGGCCTGACCCAAGCTTCTCCCTTTTCGGGGTGGGCGATGGAAGTGGCCTCTTGGCTCGCGTGGACGTGGACCCCTGGCCGACCTTGCAAGCGTCTCTTCTCTGCCTACCCTGGTTCTCCGGCCGTGCCAGCCGGGGGTCTCGGGGAGCCCCATTCCAGGGCCTGGCGGCTACCCCGGCCCTCATACTTCTGGCACGACCGTGAGCCGCCAAGTGGCGCGCCCCTCTCGACCCGGGCCGAGCCATCTCCGCTAGAGCCGGGTCTTGGTGCCCGCCCTGGCAGCAGAGAAGGGCCAGCCTGCGAGCGTCCCTGGCGGGATGTTCGTGTCCAGGTGACTGCTCTTTGTCCCGCTGAACCCGAGGGTGAGCTGTAAGAGCGACAGGAAGTGGTGGGCTCCGTGCCCGGTGGTCGGGCATTTCCTTTCCTTTCCAATCTCCTTGAGGGCTCTGACAAGGCAGCTGGAGACCGAGAGGTCAGCTGCCTCCCCGCGGCCAGCCCTTTTTGAGCTCAGGAGGAAGTGCTGGAGCCCTAGGAAACATTCGAGGGGACGTGGCGAGTGGGGCTTGGTGCGTAGCCTTCCCGGCCGCCGCTCCTGGAGGCGCGCGTTTGGGGCAGACAGCCAGGCTTAGTGAAGCTTCGAGGAAGCGTGGGGCCAGGCGAGGGACGGGAGATGGTCAGCTGCTGTCTGTGGGTTTGGGATTTCGAGAAGAATTTGGCAGATAACAAACGAGGCTGGTTTAAAGAATGTTGAAAGCTCGGTGAAACCTACTGACCTATTCACACCAACGTTTTCAGTAGGTGACTTAGCAGCCCTGGGTGTGCAGGTAGAAAATCCCCAAGTCTTGGTTCCAAGGTAGGGGCAAAGAGTGGATTTCTCTGAAATAATGAAATTAAACCAACTGAACGTGGAACACAATTGGGATCAAATGCTTTCTTCCCTCCATTTGGAGGGGAGGAGTTTATTTCATGTCAATCTGCCCCAAGAGTTACTTTGAGAATGCTCAGATGCACTTTTATTCCTGTGGCGAAGAGGCCACATGTGATATGATGTAATTTCATAGGATACGGTGGGTTAAGCTTTAATATTTTTTAAATAGAGGTAAATAAGACTGAGAAGCTTGACCTTGACAGACAATTTTTGCTATTTTCTGGAATCTTTTTTTTTTTTTTTCTTCTGGGTAGTAGCAAACTGTCAAGCTGACCCTGTCTTTTCAGTGTGGTGCTCCTCTTTGTTAGCTGGTTCCAGTGAGCTGATGAAATGAGGATGAGGATGAAGAGGGCATCATGATGAGTGTGTGAATGAACCTGGGGGTAAATTTGGGGAATGAGGACTCTCTTGGGAGATGCCAGTTGGAGCCATATGAGCCATTAGGACGAAATCCTGCTCACTGATCTCCCCTGTTGATTGATGAAGTGCATGGTGTTTACTGGAGAAATGAGTTGCGTAATTGCTTCCATCAAACCACTCTCACATTTCCATGTCTGAAATCTGTCCTTGAAAGAAATAGTTGATTTGGACTCAGAGTGTAGTAGCAATGCACAGGAGAAGGTAGGGTTAGAGCGCACATCAGTTTAAGGGAGGAAAGACTGAACATAGGGAATTTAACCCAGCTCTGGGACTTATTCTTTTGGTAACTCTAAAAATATAAGAAATCTTCAAGAGAGAGAAAAACCTCTTTAGTTCTTCCTAAAGATGATTCACAGAGAAGCATAAATATTTTTTTGTCCTAACGTGGGGGTTTGACATAGACTGAGTTCATTCAGAGACGAGTCATGAACTGATGCACAAATATTGCAGAACAACTGGTCAAAACGGAGTCAGATCTCTAGCCCTGATCTGAGACATTCTTAGCTGTGTGAATGTGAGGAGACGCTGTACTGGGTGTCCAGAGTTCTGAGTTGAAGAGAGCTGGAGTTACTGTAATTCTAACAGGAAAGCTTAGCAAATTTGGAACCTGATCTGACTTGGTTACCCAGAAGAACTTGACTGAGATGATTTGGAGTCTTATAAACCCATAACAAATTGATTCCTGTTAATTCTAACTTAATCTTTCATTATCTTGCAGTAACACTCGAGACTCTCATTTTCTGCTGGGGGGAAAAAGGCAATCTGAATAGAGAAGTTAAACAGAGGAAAAAGCCCCTTACACATACTCAATTACAGATAAGGGAAATGGATATTAGCCGTTGCAGACCATATGGTTGCTGAAACAGAACGGCATGCTTGCTGGATAAATTGAATATGGAATTCTACCTGTACGTGAAGAGAATTCTTTAGACAATAAGTGTCACCCCTCCCCCAGCTACAGAGACAATAATGTTAGCAATGGAAACATCTAACCTAACTCTGAGGTTCCCTTTCTGCCTGCCTCCTCCCTTCCTTCCTTCCTTCTTTCCTCCCTTCCTTTCTTTCTCTTCTGCTCTCCCTCCTCCCCCTCCTTCTATTTTGGGTATGTGTTGCAAGGTTAAGAAAGCCATGAACCACTAATTTGGCTTAAAATGGAGTAAGGCTGTCTTTAGCTTCTGTGTGGTTACTTGGCTGATGTTTGGGCAAGGCCATGGCTCCAGACAGTGCTTCTGGTATCATCTGGTGACGGAGGTACCCAGGCTTTGGGAAGTGGTGTGAATAATGTGAAGGAGGATCTGTGGGTCTGAAGCTGAGCCACCCCTATTGAACCTGCTGTTACAGGTGATCTAAGCCATGTCTCAGGTTCCTCATCTTTGAGGATGGGATCTACCTCACAGGGTGGGTGATGAATTGTCTGATTCTGTTTTTTAATATTTGATTGCTGACAGCTGTCAAGCATCATCTGTCCCTCTTCCCCCTCTGCCCACATGGGTGCAAGCTGATAAGATGGCCCTAGGTGTTCTTTCCATCGGTACTGGCTAGAGATTCAAGGCATGCAAGCCCCTGTCCAGACTTGCGATACATCTTAAGATACATCTTTTTTAAAGTGTTAGAACACACTAAAGAGTATGGAATCCTGAGGATTCGATGGATTCTAAAGATGATATGGAAATCTCACCTACAGAGACGTGGTGACGATGATGACGATTGCTGACTGTTTTCTCAAGCGCTTGGTATGTGCCAGTGCTATTCCAGGGGCTTTACAGATATAGCTCCCAAGTTCTCCTGGTGTCCTGTGAGCTAAGTGCTGGAACCATTCCCATTATTTAGATGAAGTGTAGAAAAGTTAAATGACTGCCCCAAGGTCACCCTGCTAGTCAGTGTAGGATTTGAACCAGGTGGCTGGCTTGATGCTATTAATAGAGCTGTTGAGTCTGAAGGATGCCAAGATGAAAGTCCAGTCCTGTCCCTGTTATTTTTAGCTATGTGACCTTAAATTAGCACTATAACCTCTTTGACTCTTATCAGTGAAAAGGGGATGGAGTGATTTCTGAGTCTGGCTTTACTCTAAAACACCCTGTTTTGCTCTGAAACACAGTTCAGATGGCTGTGCCCAGCTGGAATGAAAAGCTTCAGGACTGATAAAGACACATAAAATTCTCCTTATGTTGCCTACCAAGCAGGACCTTCCTGCAGAGTTAGAATCATAGGTCCTGCCTGGCTGAAGTTATTTTTTGCCACCATGAAAGCATATGGATACTACATAAAAGACACCTTAGTATCTCTGATGGATTTGAAAAAAACTTCAAACTTCAAATTAAAAAAAAATTATTGAAACTGCTATTCTTGCCTTCTTGGTTCACTTGGGGAAGCAAGCAGGTATCAGAGGTGGCAGCTGCTGGGCCAAATTTTCTTTTCGGTGAGTGGTACAGGAATGCCTCCCTTCCATTGAGCCTTCCATCACATGTAAGGATTATTTAAAGTTTTATTATTTTGTGTTTTTATTTTTAATGAAATAATTCTTTGTCAAATACTCAAATAGGCAGACACCTGTTTGTTTTTTCTTGTCATGTTCCCTGGGAATCTTACCCTTTGGGATTAGAATGAAAATGTGTCAATTTCTCCCCTTGGAGGAAAAAGGGGTTTTTGGAGCTGCTTTTTATGCAATTTTACCCACTAAGCTGATTCTATAATCCTCTCTTTGATTAAACATGCTAACTTGAAACAATGGTTCTGCTTCTGATGAATTTATTTTTGATTGAAGTTTGCTAACAAACAACAAAGAATTCTAGCACTTTGCACAGCAGCAGCCTTCTCTACTGAAGTACTTGCACACATTCACACACATGCATGCACACCCACCAGTTCACATTGTGATTGTACAAAATGTTCTATGTTAGCTGTCAAGAGACATCGCTCCTTCCTCTGATTTTTCTACAGGTATTCATGTTTTGTGACCTTGCGAGAGAAATTGAACATCCCTGACCTTCAGTGTTCATATCTCCAAAATGGGCTAGTAATGCTTGTCTTATTTTCTTTTTTAGAAAAGGTGCAGTTAATAAATGAGAAATTGTGAAATTTTTTTCTATAAATATAAAGATGTATGGGAGAATGAATTTTAAAATTTTTTGAGAAAAAAAGTAAAATGTTGCATAAACACAAGGTATACTGCTAGGAGAAAGATTATCTATTTCTCATACAAAATATGATTACACTAGTCTATTTGGTGTCTGTGATTGTTTCCCTTCAAGGAACAGACTCAACTTTTTCTCCCTACCAGGATGAGTTATACTACAACCTCAGTTTTTAAAATGAAAAAATTCATTGTGCTGAAATTTTGATAAATGTATAGTTCTTTTTATTATGAAAGAGACAGTTTCTCAGAAAATTCTCAGTGACTTCAAGTTTTCTTTTGAAACAAACAGATAAAGCTCATCTAAATCCTTTGAGTGATTTTAAGAAAGGAAAGAAACAGTTGTTTTTCTAGGCATTATGAAAATGGAGTGATTTCTTATTTGGTCTATCTGGTGCATACTTAGGAAACATCATTTTTCTCAGCTTGGCCACCTGACAAAGATGCATTTCTGTCTTT